TAGGCCGACTAGCCAAGGACCAGGACAGCATTGATGCAGCAGCACATCAGCTGTTGCGAGCTGTTCTACAGCACAAATGATCTTGAAACCCTAAACCCTAAACTCGATTGTTGCAAACATGCACGTTGCCAGTCTTGCAGGCCTTGGGTATGTGCCGGGGTTTTGGGGTTCAAGATGACTAGCAGGAGCGGGCAGCCCACCAGCGAATGGACGTGGAGCTCTACTTCTGGATAGACTACAGCTGCCTGCTCTTTGTCCGTGCATAGAAGGAGGGAAGTTCGGTGTTGCCGTCCAAGATGTCACAGCAACTGCACTCTCTTAGGTCTTCAGACGAGGCAGGGGGTGCCGGTGCTTCGCGTGCTGTCGTGGGACAGAGACAGAGTTAGGAAATGTTTGGCAACATAGCGGTCGGAACATTTAGTAGTTGTACGGACCCTAAACCCTAAACCCTAAACCCTAAGACCTTGACATGGGCTGCAAGCGCTTTTGGGATGGTGTCGCCGTCTGAGAGGTGGCCTTGGTTCGGTGTCCTCTGTGGTTGTTCACGCTTCGCGGTCTACGCAGCGTCTATACACATATACATATATACATATATACATATATATATATACATATATATATACACAGATAAAGATATGTTTTTTGCACATGAGTATGCACATACACACATATGTACATACATGCATGCATACATACATACATACATACGCACATGTATGCACACAGTTAGATAGTTAGATAGATAGATCGATAAATAGATAGATAGGCAGATAGCCAGATAGATAAATAGATGGATGCATGCATGCACGCATGCATTCACACACATAGATAGATAGATAGATAGATAGATAGATAGGTGGACAGACAGATAGGTAGAAAGGTAGTTAGATAGGCAGGTAGGTAGGTAGGTAGGTAGGTAGGTAGGTAGGTATGTAGGTAGATAGATCGATATATATATATATAGGTACATACATACGTGCACATAGATACAAACATGTAATAAATAAATATAAATAATATATATATATATGTATATACATACACATTTTTATGTTCATATCCATTCCTTTGCACATGTCTACAGCTTAGCAAGTGGGCAAGCCAGTAACTTACCAGTGCGAGTGGCAGTGCTAAACAAGTATGTAAACTGTTATAGAGTGTTCATCCTATGTAAGTTGTGTACATCAGCGTATCAATACTGCAAGTGTGTAAGTAAAGCACAGTAGAGTAGGACAACAGTAGAGCAAAGCAAGCAAGTTAGGTATGTATGTATGTATGTATGTATGCATGTATGTATGTATGTAAACCCTATGGATGTACGTGATGTTTATGTGAATGCGAAGGTGTGTCTCTACAGAAAAGTATATACACGCATGTGCCATGTGTATGCATGCGTCTTTTCGCACCACTGCGAAATCTAGGTGGAGCATTCCGGCATGTTCACCAAGGACCAAGCACGTGTAACCCTGTGCCAGGTGTCTTCACGGCACCGTATTTCATGTAATGTGCCACTGCGTCTGCGGAAGCTTGTGGTTGTTCGTGTGTTCGTTGTGTTCGTGTCTGTTTTCAGGACGTCCAAGAGTCTCAGATAATGCATGTATTCATGCCTTTCCTCCTCAAGTTGCTGTACTGAACTACATGCACCCACATCAGTTTACTCGCACCCTTTGACCCTCTGCCGCCCTAAACAAACCCTCCTACAGTGACGCTACCCCGCCAGGCATCCACGGCTTTGGCTGCACTCCCGCTGCTTATCTCGAAGAATCTCGCAGGCTAGAAGTTTAACTGGTTTTTGTTTACGTTTGAGGTCTGAGACTTTTGCACGGTTGAAGTCTAGTTTAGTGTGCAAGTTCTCTCTCAGGCTCCTGCCATTATCACGAAGTGCCACGCAGGTTGGGTCTTTGCAACGCCTCATCTATTGGGGTAGACATGCTCTTGTGTTGTGTTGTTTGCCGTTCTTGTGTCCTATTAGTCCTTTACATCTTTCGCCTGGTCTTCTTGTTCTTACCGTCCTGAGAATATTATTGCCAGTGCTAGAAGCCGCTGCATCACTTGCAAGCTGACTCAATCAGCTCCCTCCGACAATGTGGAGCGGTCGGTGCAAGATGAATCAAGCAGAACACGACATTTTCACATACTGACTGGCCGAGTTCTCAACTCCACAATTGCTGTTTTATTACGCAAGTTGTAGCATGTGGTTGGTGTGGCGGATGATAGAAGCCTTCCGGGAGCAGGCCAAGGCTTTAACAGCTCATCGCCACAGTACGACGTATTCGACGCGACCTCGCAAGATACTTTCGCTTACATGCTACCCCATGGCAAATCCTAAGCCACAGCCCGACTTAAGCCCCTGACTTGCTTGGTTGATGGTCCGACGGAGTGGCTAAGATTATGCTCAAAGGCATGCTGTCAGCTGATTCGGTGCTCGGGCTGAGGCTGTTCATTTCGGCTTGCACGGAAATCCTGGCCTGGCGCACGCCGGACTTTGATCGAAAAGGTTGGCCCTTGATGGCCTCTTGATTGAAATAGTCGGCTTGGACCCCATATGCCCGGTATGCTGAAGCTTAGCTCGCAATGCCAGTTTGTGCATGGTGTTGTTTGGTGACTGTGTGGCCATGCTTGAGTCTCGGGGCAGATGTTGTTCTGAGACCCGACTTGCAAGACTCAGCAATCGTGTACTTGACTGCAGGGCATAGCGATCTTAAAAATTTGACAGTAGCCGGCAAGCCACCACTGTTCCCGCGGCTGTATTTGAGGTTGTTCAGTACCAATGATCTTGCAGCGGCGCAGCCAGTTCCAACACCCTGCTACTGCAAGTTCCACTGTCCATTCTCGCCTGACTCCCCTGAAAGCTTCACGACTACTGCTTTCAATCATGCTTTTCGTTTGCGTTGCGAGACGGTGTTGGGGTTGCCACTGCTTTGGCGGCTGATCTGGTCTGCTGCAGTATCAACACGAGGCCTCGCCTTAAAGTCAAACCCGGCTCGGCCATATCATGCACGGTCCACCACTCTGATCACGGAAGCACAGATAGCAAATTGCTGCGACCTCCCCGAGACAGTTGCATGTAGTGAAAGCGCAGTATTTCTGCTTCCTGCCATTGCCAGTACCAGTGCCACCACCAGAACCAACACCAGCACCTACAGCGCCAAGACGGCGACCGCGACCAACACTGGTGGTGTTGCTGTTTTTGCTGCTACTGTTAACTCGACGAAGAGAACTGCCACCAACTAGGGGTCAAAGATAGAGTAGTGAGTGGTCATTCGGTAGGCAACGGATGGTATTCCCAAGGCACCACTTGCCTTGACAACTGAGGAGAGATTGCTGGCATACTGCTTCTGCAGGGGAGGCCGGAAGTGATATTGTGATATTTGCGCGAATAAGGCATGGGGTGGTCTGCTGGTTTTGACAGAAGACGTCAAGTAGCGATTCGGCAAGGCAAGAAGTGGAAAGAATGATGGCAGACTGCTGGGCCAAACTTGAGGGTTCTGCGAGCTTGGGGATGAATGTCCATCGCCTGGACATGCCTGGGCGGCATTCAAATCTCGTGAGAGCACGACAATGTCGAGCTTGTGGTTCAAAATGCAACATCTGCACAGACCCACCATTAAGCAACTAACATGTGCGATTACGTTTCCGATGAAAAGATTCCGGGCTCTTGCAAGCCTAGTCCGAAGTTACAGTCGTTCTGTGAAGCGCTGTGGCGAGGATCAGAGACTACGCATAATGAGTCGAAGCTTTTTCAGGCGTGCTCCAGACCCGCGCGATGATCATTTCGTCTAGATGTTGCTATATGTTGGGTGAGTCTGCAGAAGGCGCAGAGCTTTCAGCTGGTCCTGCAGATGCATTGATATGCTTGTCCTGCCCAGGCCTCACTCCCTACGCCATCGATGCTTCAACACTGGGCGAGCGTGATGAGGACCAGGAGCATGCAGGATTGCAATGTTTCCCACCTTGGGAGGGGTGGGGGGGGGGCTGCAACGGGCCATAGAACTGAACACCTGTTGTTATGCATAACTGTCTTGTAACTTACAACTGCCCCGAACATTCGTGTTGTCCTTGAGGTTCCAGCCAGAATCTGCACATCAGAATCGTGAACATAACCGCCACCCCCACCACCACCACCACCACCACCAGTAGCTTGATCAGTATGACTCAGCAGTATAGCATAGCATCTTTTCCGTAAATTTATTCATTGTCGCTTCGGTCGTCATTGCAACTCGATCACCGTTATATACTGTTCGTGGTATGATGATGTGATGATTTGACTAACCGGTGCCTGTGCCACTGCGACCGTCAGTACTGAACCTACCCAAAGCTGTCGCTGCTACGACCCCTGCCGTCATGATTAATTACGGCGCATCTATCACTGCAACTATTCACTGCTGACCGTGGCTTGTTTCCGCCATTGGCTCATGCAAAGCCACTGCGTCGCCATGCTTGCCAGTCGAGGGCATGTGGCCGCCTCAGTCAATGACTTGTAATATAGGGGCCTTGATAATTATTTATACTATTTGGGGAGTTCCTTTTATCTTTTTTTATAGTACAGTATACCCCAAAACCCTATTGTAATTATTAAGGCCCCTACATTACAGTTTCCATAGTTTCAAGCCGCATCTTCAGCCACGACGCCACACCACAACCCCCAAGTCCAGCGTCAATGCACGGTCGATGTGAGTATATCCCGCCGTATAATTGCAAATGGCAGCCTTTACGTTGCATGCTATACTCACGCGTTGATGAGGTATGCCCTTATGTTATGTTCTTTGTGTAAGCATATACCAGGCTCAGGAACTCATCCTAAAGCAGCCCTAAAGCCATGAATGTTGAAGCCCTATAACCTGAAAGCCTTCGAGTGCAAATCCGATAGACACTCCGTGACCTTTGAAACGTAATTAGAATAGGGTTTTGGGGGTTCCTCTTTATGGTTCTTGCGTAATATAGTGTAATATACCCCAAAACTTATTTATTCTAATTATTAAGGCCCCCTGTGTTTTTAGGTCTTACGGCCGCTCCGCCGAGCTTGCCGCGGCCTTGCTGCGCCGGCATGGGCCACGGCGGACGGGTGTCTGCCAAACATCAAAGAAAGAATAAAGACGGATGGCTAAGGATGTCGGCTTCATAATACATCATGACTTTCGGTGCCGTAGCAGTGATTCGGCTTGCTTCTTGAGCTTTGTGTTTCTTGGTCAAGCTTCTCAAGGTTCATGGCTTCGGTGTAGTGGCCCGAGCTTGATTTTCGAAGCATTCCCCCGATGTTCACCGCTTCGGACTCCAGTACAGCGCATGCTACTTCACATGATGTACGGCTAGTCAAGCATACGCACGCACAAATTCCTATGTGCATACATGCATAAGTACACTCTGAGCGATTCTCGTAGCATCTCGTAAAATCAAGCTGAAAACAACAGCGTTGCCGAAAACACATAGTGCATATATGTCTATACGTATGTGTATGTGCATGTGTACATACATTTACATGGAATGTGTGATCCGCACTCCGGATGCATTTTTCGAACTTCTCCTGAGCGTGCCCCGTTGGTGACAATATTCCTCTGTATGTGCAGTATATGTACATACGAGCCTCCGCAACTGGTACTGTTGGTTTCTAGCTTCTTGTTATGTAGGCCGCTTTGCGCTGTCGGTGAGGGAGTCATCCATCATACTGTACCAGTCCTGGGAGGTGGATCCAGCCACATTGTCGGCAGCTTCACCGGCAGAGGGCATGAACCTATGTACCTGCCTCGGTTTTGTTTTTCCTTTCATAGGAACACCCGAAACACAAGCCATACTTCTGTTACAAAGCACCTGCAGTGTACCTTGATTGATGGCTGAAACTCGCAGTCCAGAAAAAGAGCTCAAGCAGCTCGAAGCTATGATGTGGACGTTCTTCTCTGTGCTTCAAACACATGGTGGTCAATCGCACAGCAGGCCCAGCCGTTCTTGCAGCTCTTTCGACTCGGTGTTTGCGATTCCAGGTGGTGGCAGCTGGGCCAAAGCCAAGCGCACGCAGGACATCGTAGATCCCTTGAACGGAGAAGTCTTCCTGAAGGCCTTTTGCCTGTAGTTAAAGTCTTGGACGACCATGATGTCTTTTAAGGAGCTAATGCTAGGAGTCCGGAGACTCTTCACACAGTTGCACAGCTTTGGGGTCTTTCAGGCTGTGTTTGGCTCCTTGTAAGCTTTGTGCGCTCTCAAGAACTATCCGAAAGCCTATGCAAGCCCGAGGTGCCCAACACGGCCATGGATGAGATAGAGCCCTACATCCAGCGGATGGCGGCCGTCCCCCGCTCTGGCCTCCACAATCCCTTCAAGAACCCGGAGAGGTACGCTGAATCGGTTGTTTGGGAGGCGTATATGATCTTCAGGTTTTCGCTGCACTTACCTTTTCTCTCATTTCGCCATCGAGTTTCATGGCTGATGTTTCTGCATCTTTAGGAGTTCTGCTAAGCTTCAGGGGATTGGAAAACGGCCGCTGGGGCCCCGGCCAGGTTGTGAAGTCTCGTCGCAAAGACGGTTTAGGGTTTAGGGTCTGAGAGTGATGCTGGGGACCGGGCTGCTGTGTACGAGGCCTGCTGTAAAAGGGTCTAGGATGGCATATAGACCATAATTCACATTGGCTTATGTACCCACAGCGCAAGAGTTCCTGAAGTCCCTGAACCACTGAAGCCTTGAACTCTAGAACCTTCTAGATTCTAGATCCTAGAACCCTGAGCACATCCCTGAAACCGGAAAAAATCCTTCAAGCCTTCAGACCACGGCGAAAAAGATTTCAAGAAGCGTACGCACCAAGGTTCTAGGTTCAAAATCTCCAACATCCTCCTCATTTGGGGCTTGGAATCCGGAAGCATCCAAGCACTGCCAAGCAGTTTCAGGGTCTCCCCAAGCCTCCCTGGTTCTTAGTGGGGATTGGGGGAATGCATCCCTGTGATAGTCCCTTAAGGTCCCCTATAGTAGTCCCAATAACCCATTCCCCCATTCCCTACTAAGAACCAGTCAGAAGCTCCAGGTACGTCATGCTTGGGGAGGTCTGCGGCGCAGCCGCGCGCGAGATGTTCAAGCCAGAGGTGGGGAAAACCAAGGCTTAGTATCTAAGGACCAAATGCTTTAACCCGAACAGAAGCAAACTCCGCTGCAAAAGCCTTAGTTACTTAACTCCCAGCTCCGTCCAAAATTGGTTCTTTCAGTGCAACTGGTTAAGAGCGTTGCTTGTGGAGGACTTTCAGTGTAAGTGTTTGGTTCAGCATTTCAGATGTAATGTTGACTTTAGTAACCTTAGTAAGATTTGACTCTTTTCGGTTTCAGTTGCCTCGAAGACTGTGACCACTAGCCCAGCCCCTTTGGATCCTGATTCCTTCGTCGCCTGGTTGCCACGGTACGCTTCGCATTTATATCGGAAGGGAGCTCGGGTCGACAGAGCAAGCTCAAAACAGACTTTCGTTGTGTAGAGCCGCAATAGCTCGGCGCCCGTGCCAGACGAAGCCAAACAACATATAGACTAGTCTTTCCATAATCCCGGCACGGCTTCACGTCTTGTTAGTAGGCACCAGCCGAAATCTAAAGTATTAAGGGGGAAAGCCAATTTCCACAGTGCAGGTGGAATAATTTGGTGTGCATGGATGGATCGATGGAAGGATGGAAGGAGGGAGGGAGGGAGAGAGGGAGGGAGGGAGTCAGGGATGGATTGATGGATTGCTGGATATGTAAGTTTATGTATATGCGTGTAGGTGTGTATAAGAGGTATTTGCTGTATGTCATGTATGTGTTATTATGTGTTGTATATATCATGTACAGTGTATCAAACTTGTATAATGTATGTTCTGTAAATAACTTGGGTGTGTTATATATATACACACACACACATATATATATATATATATGCAATGTAGGGAGTGAAATGTATGCACTGCATATTCTGTCTGGTGTGTGTGCGTGCTATATTCTGCCATGCTATATTATGTTATGCTATGTTTTAACATATACATACATACACATATATATATATACACGTATATAGGTATATATGTATGGGTGAGAGAGTATGCATTTATCTGTCGGTCGGTCGATCGGTCTGTCTGCACGTATGCATGCATGCATGCATGCATGGATGCATGAATGGGTGGATGTATGCATGTATGCGTGTATGTATGTATGTATGTATGCATGTATGTATGCATGTATGTATGCATGTATGTGTGTGTATGTGTCTGTTTCTGTGTCTGTGTCTGTGTGTGTGTATGTGTATGTGTATGTGTATGTGTATGTGTATGTGTGTCTGCGTATGTGTATGTGTATGTGTGTGTGTATATATATATGTGTGTGTGTATGTGTATGTGTGTGTATGTGTATATGTATATGTATATGCGTATATATATATGTTTATATAAACGAATGTATGTGTATATGTATCTGTGTCTGTATCTGTATGCGTATGTGTATGTTTATGTATGCATGTATGCATGTATGCATGTATGTATGTGTGTCATGTATAAGATGTAATATAGTTCAATGTTATAAAATGGAATGGAATGGGATGGAACGTAACGGAATGGAATGGATGTATCTATACTACCTATCTATCTATCCATCTAGCTGCCCATCTATCTACGCACCTATCTATCTCCATCTATCTATCTATCCATCTTTCGATCTATCCATCCATCCATCTATCTAACTATCTGTGTGTACATATACACACAGATATCGCCTCGACCATTAAGAAGACCAGCAATTGAACGGAGGTTGCCGACTTCTTCATCCGACTGATCCAGCGCGTCGCCCCTAAGAGCTATGCCCAAGCAGGAGGTGAAATCAAGGCGGGGCAGTCTGGTTTGGGGCGTTAGGCTTGTTGGGAAAGACCGTTCGCTAGTTAACGCTGGTTGCTGAGTTGTCGCGATCAGGGCTTTGGACGGAGGGGCACCTGAGTTTTGTTAGACGGCCCGGCCCGTTGTCTTGAGGCGCAATGCGATGGGCTCTTATGCGTTCCTTGCAATGGTAGCATGAGTTCTTGAACAAGAGCCCAGAGCAAGGCCTAACTAGAGGTAACTAGCGCCCATGCAGACCCTAACTGTGCAAGCCTGTCTTCATCGGGAGAGTTTGGGGTTAAGGGGGAGCGAGTGTCATGTTTACTTTGTTTTCGTGTTGGTCTGTGCCTTTTCAATACTTTCGTTTGAGCTTGCCTTTGACTGTTTTTATCGTGTTGATCTGTGTCTTTTAATTGCCGCTTCCTACGCAGCGCTTGCATTTTCCTTCTCTGTGCATCTTGGTTCCTCTGTCCTGGCTCCAAAACACATGGATTGTGTTAACCTGTGCCTTTTCCCTATATACACATATGTTTGCTGTCGAACCAGCACCTGTCATCTGTGACTCTCGACCGTTTTCCTTGCTTTTGCAAGTTCTTTTCACGCGACAACATCAGTCATCTGTGACTCACCACTTTTGCTTCTTGTCTTTTGGACAGGTTCATGCTGGATTCGCTCCTTAGGATTTTCGTCTCCTTAGGGTGTTTCTCTAGGGCAAAAAGGTTCCTGCTGGATTCACTCCTTAGGGTCTTCGTCTTCGGTAAGAGGCTACTACTACTACGACGACTACTACTAGTACTACTACGACTACGACCACGACGACGACTACTACTACTACTGCTGCTGCTGCTGCTGCTGTTGCTGCTACTGCCACTGCTACTGCTACT